TGCCCCTGGATCCCACTGGAGAGCCCCACTCCTCCAGAGGCGCTGACGGCGGCGGCGGCGGTCGTCGTCATGGGGATGTTCTGATGCTGCTGGATCACGCCGGCGTTTGCGGTTGTCATGAGGTTCCCCCCGCCGGCGACGGCCCCACTGCTGCAGCTGATCCCGCCTCGCACAGGCACGTTGGCAGAGCTCAACATATTCACATTACTAACACTGCTGGTCTGGGGATTAACGATGCTGACTGTAGCGCCCGCAGCAGAGCCGGGGAGCCCAGGGACGGACCCCGGGGCCACCATGCTCGGAGGAGGGGCGGCCTGGGACCCGGTCTCCTGAGGGACCCCCACGGTAGAAGGCATTTTCTGGGTGACGCAAGGTGAAGCTCCAGGCGGCCCCGAGGACAGCGGGTAGACCTGGGCCCGGTGAGGAGCGGGAGCAGGGTGCACAGTCCCGTTCACCATCCCCCCGCCGGGCTGGCGAGCCGGGTTCAGGGCGTGCGGGTGCGAAGGCTGGTTGGGGGACACCGCTCCGGGGGTCTCCGCCTCGTGGAAGTTATTCAGCGTCTCCTCCGAGGAGCTCCTCTCGCCCCCCACCATGTCGTTGGCCCGGGACAGGGACACGTCCAGGATCTCGGAGGAGGACAGGTCCTCCGTGTGGGACTCGTCCAGGTCGTCGTAGCTCTCCGTGTCCTCTGCGATGCTGTTGTTGGTGCTCACAGACACCTGAGCCGGAGTCACACTGGTGATCTGGAAACCGCTCTTCTTCTTCATCTGGGCTCCGGAGGACTGCGGGGGCAGGTTCAGGCTGTGGGGGGGGATGTGATGGAGACCCGGGGAGGAGGAACCAGCAGGAGGTTGGCACTGAATCAACAGGGAGGGCTGGTACTCATCGGCCGGGACGTGGCTGTTGCTGACCGGGTTGGCCGGTGTTGACAGCGCGGAGCCGGTGCCGGTGCCGGTCCCGGGCCCGGTCCCGGTGCCGCTACCCCTCCTGTGAAAGACAGCCGGGTGTGCCATCTTTCTAACACCGCCAGAGTCTCCTGCAGGGTCCGGGTGGTGCATCTGGAGACAATCCGGGCGGTTTCTGGTCTCTGACAGTACGCAATAAGGTCGCGGGTCGTTAACGGCGCCGTCTTGACGAAACTACGATCAACAGACCAACACGATCGAAAAAACAGTATAAATATAAATGTGCGCGAAGCAGAAGAAGTCTCGGCTTGTTGTTAAAGCCTCTCATGCACGATGGGGGGGGAGAGAAGAAGAGAAAAGAGGGAGAGAGAGAGATAACGTCAGCTGATGACAGTTGTAAATCGCCGGCTAACTAGCTAGCACTAGCTCTGGTAGCCGTTGGAGCCGTTGTTAAACACCAACGGACATTTTTGAGCCGTTTTTTATTTATTTTTAAATGTAATTAACGAAGAGACGCTTTATAATCCACACGGAACTTTATTCTTAGTCTGTAAGCTTTGGAGGAG